TTCCTCCTTTCTCCTTCCTCGTCCCTCCCTCCCTCCCTCCTTCCCTCACTCCCTCCCTCCCTCCTCCTCCTCCTTCTCCTCCTCCTCCTCCTCCTCCTCCTCCTCCCTCCTCCCTCCCCCTTCTCATCTTTATAATTTTTGTTTGTTCCCTCTTCTTCATCTTCTTTTTCTTTCTCCTCCTCCTGATGCTGACGCTGACGCTGGAGACATGTGGATCCACATGGGATGCTGCCATCCGCTCCCCTCCCCCCCCAGGGGCGTTTGCCCCTGCGAGGGTGATCAAACTAGAGGCGATACAACAAAACGAGAGCCACGACGAGGAGATGACCCCTTTGGGGGGCGGGATGTTTATGTCCCCCAGCACCCCTGGAGGGTGGGGTAACGAGGAGAAACGAGAACCTCTTTGCTCCTCTCTCTCTTCCCCTGCTCCTCCTCTTCTTCTTCTTCCTTCCCTCCTCCCTCCTCTCCCTCCCCTCCTCCCTTCCTCCTTCCTCCCTCCCCCCCCTCGACCTTCTCATCCTCCCCTCCTCCCTCCTGCCCTCCCTCCCTCCCCCTTCCTCCCCTCCTGCTCCCTCCTCCTTCCCCCTCACTCCCTTCCTCCCTCCTCCTCCCTCTCCATCCCCCCTCCTCCTACCTCCCCCTCCTCCTCCTCCTCCCTCCTCCTCCTCCTCCCTCCTACCCTCCCTCCTCCTCCTCCTCCTCTTCAGCCCCTGCGGCAGAGGAGCGCCCCCCCCCTCGCCCAGGGCGCGGCGGCCGCGCGCGCCGCGATTGTGCGGGACCACGAGTTCTGGGTACTGAACTTCTTCCTCTGCTTACTTCCGCGTACCTCGCAGGGGCATCGCGGAGTGAGCCAAGTTCGTGTTCGGCGGCGAGGTCGAGTGGTTTCATCGTCGCTTGATGTCATGGCGCTACGGGTCAACCGTGGACCTAGCGCCCTGGAGGCAGACGGCAGCGCAGGCTCAGGCCAGGAGGCAGACCTGGCAGGCTGCTGCTGGCCACGTCGTGATTATCGAGCGGGTGGTGGCGGCGGCGGTGACGGCGGCGGTCACTGCAGCCATCCCCGCGAAGGCGCGCCCTGCGCGGCAGGCGCCGGAGCCGTCAGCGGCCCCCCCGAGGCCCTCGCAGGCCCCGTCGCGGCAGCTGGCGATCGAGGACGGTGTGGCGTCGGAGGCGGCGGAGGAGCCCCCACCGCTGCGCCGCCTGCGCAGGTGGGCCAGGCCGACAGCGGCGACGGCGGCGGCGCCGAGGACGCCCCCCAGGCGCCCCGGGGCTCGGGCGCAGGCGACGAGCCCGCCCCCGGGAGACCTGCGGCCGCTGGAGGAGTTTTGCCCCGCGGCCCCACCGCAGGGCTGGGTGGGGGCAAACAGCACCTCCAGCCTGAGGGAGTGCAAGGCGGCGCCGAGGGCTGCCAGGCTGCGCTCCAGGTCGCGCCGTCGGCGCAAGAGGTGCAGCAGCAGCAGCTCGCCGCCGCAGGAGGTCAACTGATGGCCGAGAGCGGCGAGCAGTTCGACCAGGCCTACGTGTCCTTCGGCGGCCCGAGCGGCGTCGTGAGCGGCGGCCAGTTCTACTACGAGGACCAGGCCTGCGCTTCCTTCGGCGGCCCGTGCGGCGCCGAGATCGACGGCCAGTTCAACTACAAGGGCGGTTCCTATCGAGACGCGGTTCCTTCAACTACAATCGAAGGAGGCGGCGCTGTAGGTACAGTTCGCCGCCGAGGCGGGGTCGGGGGGGGGGCCAGTGGGATTCTGGCCCACGAAGTCGCAGGCCTCCCCCCGCGGCCAGGGCTCGGCCTTCGTGTCCTTCGGCGGCCCGTGCGACGTCGACACCGACGGCCAGTTCTACCACGAGGAGGCGGTGCTGCAGGAGCAGGCCGCCGACAAGCAGGGCATCGCGTTCTTCGGCGGCCAGGGCGACGTCGATGGCGATGGCCGGATCAACTACAAGGAGGCGGTGTTGCACGAGCAGCTCGCCGCCCAAGGCATCCCCGTCTATAGGCTGGACGCTGGCGAGATGGAGGATGCGGACATGCAGCTCTCGCTCGGCGCGGAGACGAAGTTCGGCGACTTCCCCGCGATCCCGAGCTTCCCGACCTTTGCGGAGGCGCCCAAGGCGGAGACCAATTGGGAGGGCGTCCTGAAGGCCAACGCCGCCGTGTTCCTCAAGGAACAGCAGATCCAGGCGGCCAGGCGTCTCGGACAGGAGCGCGTCTTCGAGAAGCTGGTCGGCTTCGATTCGGTGGACGCCTACGTCGAGAAGCCCGCTGGCCCGCAGCACGCCTGGCTGGCCCACCAAGCGCTTGTCTGCGTCGAGCTGGTGGCGCTGGTCGAGACCTTCGGCGAGGAGTTCGTCACTGACCTCATTGGTGACCTTCACGGCGAAAGTGGCGCGGCAAGTTCAACAGGCCCGACGGGCTCGAGGTGAACTTGACCTGACAGGTTGGGGGGGAGGAGTGCTCCAAGCAGGCCGTGGCCTCTGGGGCCCTGTCCGCCGCCCCCTTGCTCCCCCTCGTGCTGCGGTGGCCTCGGGTGGCCCCGCTCGGGGGGGTTGGCCACGCTTGGGGTGTTCCTCCTCCCTCGTGCGCCACTTCTGTCTGTGTTTTCATTCGCCCGCGCGCGGGCGAGCGCGGCAGGAGACTGTCCGCGAGGTCGTCTCATCGTCTCCTCCTCCTCCTCCTCCTCCTCCTCCTCCTCCTCCTCCTCCTCCTCCTCCTCCTCCTCCTCTCCTCCTCTCCTTCTTTTTCCTCTTCCTCCTCCTCCTCCTCCTCTACCTCCTCCTCCTGCTTTTCCTCCGCTGTCAGGCAGGCATCGGATAAGGATAACTCGCTCCAGAGATGCTGTCAGACCGTCCCTGAGAGCTCTGGACTGACCGCGGCGCCCGGAGCGTCCTCCAGCTGGCCCTCAGGGATTCCTGGATGTCCTGATCCCCACTCTCCTCACCCTGCCTCGCTCTTGCTCCAAACGCGGGACGACGCGCTCGGATTCGGCCCCCCTCTCGCGGCCCTTTCCGGCCGCGCACCAAAGGCCGCTCTTGCCGAGGGTCGCTCTTGCGCGCAGCCGATCCCCCCGCCTTCGCACGCGCGCGGGCCGGCGCCGCATGGTGCAGCTGGAGGGGCCGAGGCTAGCTGGAGGACGGCCCTCGCCGAGACGGGCAGGGGCCCCGAGGGGACAGGGTCGTGGAGTTATTGTTGCACCGTTGTCGGCCTCCCTGGGGCCCCTCTCCCTCCTAGTCCTCCTCTTCCTCCTGCTCCTCCTCCTCTTCCTCTTCCTCCTGCTCCTCCTCCTCCCCCTCCTCCTCCACCACCTTTCCCTCCTCTTCTTCCTCCTCCCTCCTGGTCCAACGTGTCCTCCTCCTCCTCTCTCTCTCTCTCCTCATCCTCCTCCTCCTCCTCCTCCTCCTCCTCCTCCTCCTCCTCCTCCTCCTCCTCCTCCTCCTCCTCCTCCTCCTCCTCCTCTTTCTCCTCCTCCTTCTCGCGGTCCCTGTGCTTGTTCCCCTTTAGGAGGGGTAGCCGCCCGGGTACGACAATGTGAGGCGGGCCTGGCTCGGCTTGCCCCGGGAACGCTGAAGTGCGACCTTGGATGGAGATCTGGCCCCAGGAAGAAGCACCAGGTCCAGCACCCGTTCCCCTCGGGGGTCCTTTTCCTGCGTGCCAGTGTTTGGGGGGGGGGGGGCGGCCCAGCCGGCCGGACGCAGGCGCGCCCTAGGTGTCGTTCGTGAACCGGGACTGGACAGGCCAGGGCAGGCAGCACACCACACCATTTGAGAGTCTCCCGGCACCTCCCCTGCCGCCTCCCTCTCTCGGCTCCTCGCCCTGCTCCCCTCCCTGCCCCTCGAGGTCAGGCATGGCGCCAGCGAGCCCGGCTTGCTGCCCTCCCGTGATCGTCGTCGTGGTGATCGTCGTCGAGGCCGTCGCCGCCGCCGCCGCCGACGGCTGCCGACGGTCCCCGGCGCTGTCGCGGTGATGGTGGCTGTCGTGATGGTGGTCGTCGTCGAGGCCGTCGCAGGCGCTGATGGCTGCCGAAGGCCCACAGCGGCGGCAGATACGACGAGCGAAGGTGGTCGTCATCGCACGCCGCCGTGGAGCGCCGGGGAGGACCCCTCGTCGTCGAGGCCGTCGCAGCCGCCGATGGCTGCCGAGGGCTGGCGGCAGTGGCCGACGACGCGCGCAGGTCGTCGTCGCCTCGCCCAGGGAGGATCTCGGCGGCGACCGAGAGGGGGAAGTGAGAGGGGGCGGGCCTTCTCAGAAGGCTTGGAAGTCTTCCGGCCTTCTGAGAAGTTCTCTAAGCCTTCCCCGAAGAGAGCCTCTCAGAAGGCCGGAGGCCTTCTGAGAAGTCCCGCCGCCTTCTGAGAAGGCCTTCTCCTTCTCACTCCCCCCTTCGCTCGCCGCCGAGGGGCCCTCGTCGTCGAGGCCGTCCCTCAGATCTGACGCTGCAGAAGCAGTACAGTGGGCGGCTTGAATAAGGAACACTTACTTTTCAAAAGGGGCTCGGTCGTTCCTTAGGCTTGCATGCGTTATTTGCAGTTCCTTATGCGTTATTTGTTATTTATCGTTCCTTATGCATTATCCCTTGGGATAAAAAAGGGGCTTCGTTCCTTATTGCGAAGGCCTGACGGCCGGTGCCGCCGACCCTGTTCGCAATGCGCAGCAAGAGGCACGGGCTGTGGGATGGTTTGGGGGAACGGGGAGAAGGACGAGAAGGTGGGGGAGGGAGGTGTCGTATCTGACCCGGGACTTCCCCGGGACTCCCCCGGGACCCCCCCCGGGACCTCCTCTCCCCCCCCCGTCGGGGAAGGGAAAGGGAAGGGGCTTCCCTTCGACTCAATGACGACGTTGCTCAAGGTCGGTACGGGAGGGGGGCGTCGTATCTGACTCGGGGGGGGGGTCGCTACCCTCCCCCGCTACCCCCCCCCTCCCGGCGGGGGAGGAATGAAAGGGAAGGGGCGTCCCTTCGACTCAATTACGAGGTTGCTCAAGGTCGGCTTGGCTGGAGCCCAGGGGAAGAGGAGTCCCAGGGGGGGGCGTCGTATCTGACCCGGGGGGGGGGGGTCGCTACCCCCCCCCCCTCCCGGCGGGGGAGGGATCAAAGGGAAGGGGCTTCCCTTCGACTCAATTACGAGGTTGCTCAAGGTCGGCTTGGCTGGAGCCCAGGGGAAGAGGAGTCCCAGGGGGGGGCGTCGTATCTGACCCGGGGGGGGGGGGTCGCTACCCCCCCCCCCTCCCGGCGGGGGAGGGATCAAAGGGAAGGGGCTTCCCTTCGACTCAATTACGAGGTTGCTCAAGGTCGGCTTGGCTGGAGCCCAGGGGAAGAGGAGTCCCAGGGGGGGGCGTCGTATCTGACCCGGGGGGGGGGTCGCTACCCCCCCCCCCCCTCCCGGCGGGGGAGGGATCAAAGGGAAGGGGCTTCCCTTCGACTCAATTACGTAAAAAAGGGGCTTCGTTCCTTATTTATCGTTCCTTAGGTCAGGCCGATGACTGTACAGCATCGCAGAAAGGCACGGCCGGAGCCACGGGCCCCAGCCGTCTGCTGCATGTTTCGAGCCGGAACGGTCTGTGATGGGCCCGAGGCCCGACGCCGCGCACAAACGCCTGCTGCGAAGCGTTGAGCGCCAGGATCTCCGGGGTCGCCGCCGCCCTGCGGCTGCCGAGGGCCAGTGGCTGCCGCCGACCAGCGAAGGTCCTCGTCGGACGCCGCCGTCTGTGCCCAGTGTCTTCCAACCTCATCGAGCGCGTTCCGCCACTCGCAGAGTGCCTGCTCGCAAACGTCAGAAACACCACACGTCTGCCCTGGTGCAATCTATCGTAAATCCCCTGCGGCGGATCCAGGCATTTTGCGAGCAGCTACTTTGCGAGTAGAGGAACGCGCTCGTCTATAACCGATCCCTATCCCCATCCCCATCCCCATCCCGATCTCCACCATCCCACCACCACAGTTGGGGATATGCCCCTTGAAACCCGAAGGGAACAGCCCACATCCCCATCCACGGGGGGAAGTCCGGCCAGTGGGGCCCAGGCCACGCTGGTGGGGATAGGGATCGGTTAAACGATGCTCGTGTGCGCCGGGGGAGGACCACCCATCGTCCACTGATCGCCGATAGGGGCCGATACTGGGGGCCTATCGCCGATCTATCGGCAATGTATCGCTGATTCCAGGTCGACGTGTCCCCCCTACCCAGATCCCGACGTCATGATTTTTTCACGACGTCGACCCCCAGAGGTCGAGATCCCCAGGACCACTGTTGCATCCCAAGTCGTCTTTTGACGGTCCCAGGGCCCAGCGAGGGACCCCCTCTGGGGGATTTTTTCATGGCCCGAGGGGGTCAGGGTACGCCACTACCCCCAACACGCCTACAGAGGGTATTCTGGATTCCCAGATCCGAATCTGCTTTGGGCGCCTTTCTGCTTCAATCCGCGAGTGCGTCTCCCTGTTTCCTCCACTTCAGGGGGGCTGGCGGAGGCTCAATCCTATATTTTGACCCAAGAAGGGGTCCAGCTGAAAGGGGGTGGTGCAATAGATGTGGGGCACTGGTATTGGAACTGTATTGGGCCAGAGAATTGTACTGCATTGTACTGCAGCTAATGTATTGCATGCGACAGTCCAGCAATACATTGGCGCCCCCGAATGCATCACACGCCTCCAAATCTACTGCAACCCCACAGATCGATCGCGCCAGATCTATGGCACGACCCCCTTTCGGCTGGACCCCCTTTCGGGTCGACCAGAAACCTACTTCCAAGGCCTTCCTGCTTCGTGGTTCTGCCCACTCCTCCCGACCGACGGGTATCCTTGCCCTGCTTGTGTGCGCCGGGGGAGGACCCCTCGTCGGCATGCTGGCCTGCTGGCAGCCCTTCGGCGACGGGCGCCCGGACCTCGTGTGGCCATCGGAGGCCAAGCTGCTGGAGCCGCTGGAGGCGGCCGCGCGAGCGTCTGCGACGTCGTCGTCGTCGTCGTCGTCGTCGTCGTCGTCGTCGGCGTCGTCGTCGTCGTCGTCGTCGTCGTCGTCGTCGTCCGTCGTCGTTCTCGTTGTCGTCCGTAGTCGTTCTCGTCGTCGTCGTCGTCGTCGTCGTCGACGTCGTCCGTAGTCGTTTTCGTCGTCGTCGTCGTCGTCGTCGCTGTCGTCGTCGTGGTGGTGGTGGTGGTTGCCGTCGTTCTCGGAGCAGTACTGTATTGGATTCGAGTGGGTTGGATCGGACCAGTCGGGAGCTCAAGTCTCTCCGATATTCAAGAGGCCTGCGCCCTTCCGCCGGCCCCAGCAGAGGAGGTGTGCGGCTTCCGATCTCGTGTGTGTGCGTGTGTGTGTGTGTGTGTGTGTGTGTGTGTGTGTGTTTGACCGGAAGGGGCCCGCTCCCG